TCCCTAACTTTATGAAGACTACACTGCATTTAAGAAGTACAATATGGTCTAGGACCTACCAAAGCCTATGATTGGAAAGGTATAATTGTTGAATTTGTATGGTGGTGCTTTCCAGACTTCTGTGTGCTGTGATAGCTGCAGAGCTATCTCCAGGTCCAGAGTCATGGCACAGCCTCTAGTGTGACCCTCCCTCTGAAGAATCACTTGGGAGTAAGGCCATCTGGCCTGAAGTAGATAAGAGTTTGGATCAACTGCTCTTTGGTATCATTCCACAGCCTGCCTAAAGTGACTTAGTCACCTCCGTCCACCTACAGCCCTCTTCAGCATCTCCTGCTCAGATTTGTGAGTATAAACCCTTGTATCCTAGTGGCCTGTGTTTCAGCTGAGATGGTCTCTTGGAAGCATCTAAGCTTGTGTCTTTCATTTGGGGTAATGCCTTTTCAGAGGCGTAGGGCGCTTTGGCTTTGTACCTAGCACACCAAGGACATGCAAAAGGAACATTTGATTTACTCATCTTTAAAGAGTAGGCCTCATTTTCATTCTGCCCTTGACACTGTTATTCCTGCTGCCTCTAGTACTTGAAATGTGCATCTGCTTCAATGCAGAAAATTTGGGATGGAGGAACCCCAGTCTTTATCTATTACTACAGTAGTACTTCGTAGACGATCACAGTCAATCTCCCAATCAAGTAGCAGATCCGGAGGCCAGAAGATTTCTGGCTCATCTGTTTAGCCTTCTGCATTAAAAGTGCCTTTCCACGTGGGGTTTTTTTTTTGTCCTGTTGGGATTTCTGAGGTTTATCTCTTAGCTCATGCTTTCCTTGTAGCTCCACTCTTAATCTCTAGATTAGGTAGCTTTATTTAGCTGCCCCTTCTGGTATTACTGCGCCCCATTGTGCACTTTTCCAGAATTGTTTTGATTTCCCTGAACCTTAAAATCTCTGATTCCTAACCAGGAAGAAATCTTTCTTTGAGAGTGGTACCCCATTCAAGCCATCAAGCCCTATCCCTCTCTGGAAGGCTTTTGAGGGTTGTTAGATTGACAGGGATCAATTCCCATTACTCCCTGGTCTTTGTGAGAATCTCACCCTTCAGAGTACTCTGGTGTTTTTACACCCTGCCCACAGCACTGACTTGTCTACACTAATTACTTTTTTTCTAGCTTCCCCATTGTCGAATGCCTAGGAGGCCTTCTCTGAATACAGTCAGTATCCTAGCTTTTTACAGGTTCTGCTAAGGATTGTATAGTCCATATTTATTTATTACAGGAATTTATATAGCGCCAACACTTTATGCAGCGCTTTACACAGTACACATTCACATCAGTCCCTGCCCTCAAGAAGCTTACAATCTAGGGTTCCTATCACACATGCATACATATGAGGGCCAATTTAGACAGGAGCCAATTAACCTACCAGCATGTCTTTGTGGGAGTGTGGGAGGAGACCTGAGTACCCGAAGGAAACCCATGCAAACACAGGGAGAACATGCACACTTCTTCCAGATAATGACCTGGCCGGGGACCTCCAGTACTGCAAGGCAGAAGCGTAACCACTATACAATTGTGCTGCCCTCTGAGTATAGCAGATCCTTTCCTGTTTACTTCTGTGCAATTACTTTCCAAAGCTCCTCCTTTCTTGAATTTGGGCAATTCACTGGTTCCTGAGACCACATAGTCCAGCTAACTATGCACTGGAATCTAGTCAGGGTCGGTATTATTCCTTTTCCCTTTCTTTTACGGCCCATTCACACCATGTCCAGATCAGATGCGGTACGTTACATTTTTCTTCTGCACCAAAATGCATTCCAATGCATTTGTATATGATTTTTGGGCTCTGTTCACACCAGTCCAGTCCGTTCCAGTGCAGGCAAAAAAATGCTGCATGTCACATTTTTCCTGCACTGGAACCCACCACAAACGCATTAAAACAAAGCACCGTGCCACGTTTGCAGATATGCGTGCAGATATGGTCCAGACATGGTGTGACAGGGCCCTCATTCAGGAAGGAGTCTCCTTATGGATGTGTCCACTTTCAGACTCTTTCAGTCTAGTGCATTGTACCAGTGAGCTTTCCCAAGTTCGAGGAATTTTTCTGTTGGTCAGTTCCTAAAATTGTCCTCAGCTGTACTTGATCTGGTGGCTGCAATATTTTTACCTTTAGAATAATTTGTGTACTTCTGTAACTGACTTCCTATTATAAACAGTGTTAAGTGTGTCTTCATAGCCTACACTAGTTTCTTCCTAGATTTGAGTATTGCTTCCAGGTTTCTGCATCTGATGTTACTGATTTTAAAACAGTGAAGATCATGCACGTGAGTGTGTCCATAGAAATACATATTCATCTTTTATGTCCTGTACTTCCTTGTAGGACATTATATTACCCAGATACAAAGTTTTCCTTAGGGATAGTGTAACTCCCAAGGTCTTTGTGGGACCTACTTGTTGGAAAATAGATAATTTTCCTACCCTCTTTCAAGCTAATTGTCCCTAGTGCTACCACATGCATCCCTATATCCAATGAGTAGAATCACTTCAGCCTTCAGCTGTTACCTGCTTGGTCTTTCTGTTTGGACATACATTGTCTGTTCAACTTTTCCTTTCTCCTCAGTCAAGGGTTAGAGCCTAAGCTTTGACCTTTACCCTTTACCAAAGTAAACATGTTATTTTTTGTTGACCACCTTAGGTATTGACCTGTCATTTTTTCTCCTGTTCAGGTAGTTGTTGTTTCACCTGTTTTCTTCATGATGCATGATTGGTTGCCCTCCATGTTGTTAGTTGATCATTGGATCCTTCTTTGGTCATGGCAATTTATATATTTGCTTTTTTTTATTATCAGGCATTGACTTCTTAAGATACTTCTTGTAGTAAGATTTCCACATACATTGGATCTTTCAGTGACTGTTGCCCACCCCTCAAATGGACTGCCTTTGGACATCACAAATGTCTAAGAATTACTACACTCCTGTTTCTATTTATTTACAAAAAATTGGATTTTTGTAAATAAATCCTGTTCTTGAAGTCCATTGAGGCACACAGGTCCCAACCCGCTGTGTTATTGGCCTCATGAACTGCTTGCTCACAAAGGTATGACAGTTTGAGGTGGGGTGATATGGGGCTGGCTTTATGATTTTTGTTTACCTAAACCTCCTAAAAGTGGCAGTAAAATTCGAATGTCTACATACCTGTGTCCCTCAATGGAAAAAGATTTTATGGTAAATTTTATGGTAAATTTTATGGTAAATACAAAAATCTTAATTTTGTCTATATCATGCATATCCCAGGAGAGGGAAGCAACATAACCTCTAACTCACATTTAGCATGCCCTCCTATCAAGTACAGCACACACACACAATGCTCTATGGCAAGCCAGCAGGTAGGAGTGAAACAGAGCACACCTCTTCCTATGCCAGGGCTCTACAAATTACTTTTCCATATTTATAACAGCAGATAAGATAACCACAAAAGATATCACAGCCAATAACACAGAACATGATGCTAAAGGTAATTATGTGTTATGACCCTCCTTGAGTACTAAAATACTGCATCTTGAGTTCAATGTGGATACATAAAATATCAGCAAACTTGAAATGTTAGCAAATAATACTGTACAGGAACCTGCGTCATTAAGCCCTGTTCTACTTGGTACTGCTTGGTTTTATCTGAGTTCCACCATGCAAGGTGATATAACATACTCGAGGAAATCAAATATTTTTATGGCTGAGGATAAATAGGTAATATGTACATCTCATGAAAAAAAAAATAAAAGGTGAAATCTCTAGTAAATCCTAATGGGGTTTGAGGGCTACAGTGTCCCAGTTGGATATCACATACATTATATACAGTATATAAACACACACCCATCCAGCTTAATGTACTTTCTTTCATTAATTTGTCTTTGTATACACTTTCATTTCAGCATAAATGACCATTTAATATGTGTGTAATATGTGTAAATGTGTATTTTGTTTGTTTTGCATTGAGTTAAAATACAGTATCTGCCAGGTATTATTGTTGTGACCCCTCACCTCCTGTCCAGCAGAGAAAGTGAGTGGAAAACTCACAAAGACAACATCCTCACACTGGGAAGATTTCAGCTTTCATGCTGGCTACAGGAGCTCTTTAGAACAGCAAGTAAAGGAAAAGTTCCACAATAAGACAGAGACCAGCAAATGCCTGGTCTTAACCTTTTCTCACACTTTCACACATAAAAGGAAAGAGCTGGGCTTTAAAGTGTAATGCCAGGCAAAACATTTCTTTATTGTTGGATAAAGTGGGGAAGTGTTAGAACATCTGTCAGGTTTTTATTGCAGCCCGATACTCTGTCTAATAGGGAAAAAAGACCAAAACAATATTTTGATGGAAAGGGTTAGACCTTTTACATAATTGCTTCTTATATGTAAGAATCTTGAAGTAAGCCACAGTCACAGTAAGCCACCTAATAGCCACAGTCATTGCAAAGTGAGGGATAAGTCACACTCCTTTAGGGCCCATTCACACTACATCCAGGTCATCTCCAGACCAGACCAGATTGTTTCCGGACCCAAAATGCAACCTAATGTATCCCTATGCTATTTATGGCCTCTGTTCACACCAGCGCAGTCCGTTCCAGACCAGACCAGAAAAATATTACATGTCTCATTTTGTCTGGTCTGGAATGCACTGGAACTGCGGGCAGGTTCACACCATTTTCTGGACAGGATCTGGTCCGGAAAATGGTGTGAACCTGCCTTTAGAGTCTCCATGAAGTTGAATAATTAAATTGGAGATTTCACTTGTCAGTGGTAACATGTTTATTATGCTTTTTAGGACAGAGACAACAAGCAATGTAGGGAAATCTTGCCACTAGTGTTTTCCTTAACCCACCAGAGTCCATCAAAAATGAAAATATTGGTCTGCTGTGATGTTGGTGCTTCAAGAAAAGAATAATTAAAAAATAAACGCATTAGTGAGGCATTATAGCTGAATAAGGGAAACAAGTTATGTCAATTTGGCTTGCTTACCTGAATAAACATCCAAAAGAACTGGCTGAGATAAAAATAGTGTGTGACAGCTGCCAGACCAGCACAGCTATCATTGGAGAGCTGTCGGCTAATGTATGCAGAGGCCAGGAAGGAGATCTGTAAGAGAACACAGGATTCTGTTATTGCATCTGGATATTTCAGGAGCAAAAGTTCATCAGCAATGCAGTTAAACAGACCATAGTATGCAAGTGATTGTAGGATTGTGACAACAACTGTTTTCCTATGGCTCATGGCCTCTCAGAGTAAAGAGCCTAATATGAATCTAATCTAATATTAATCTAATGAGCTTTCCAGCCTGAAAGTCGTTATGAGTCAGGAGAATTTTACCTATTAAGCTGCATTTTAATGTAGCCAATTTCAGGGAACAAAAAAACATTGGAAATAAAAGTGCACTGGATACTTGTACCATAAAGTGCACCTGACCTGACCTGACCTGGCCTGGCCTATGATATGCCTATGGCGACATTAGAGAAACAGAACAAAAGCCGTCTGGTGGTCAGTTTCCAAATCAAGCCCCTTGTATCTGAGGCACAGACTGTACTCAGGGTCTCAGCCTATTTCTAATTTGAGATTAAGCCCTGCATCCCAGCACTAAGCCTCATTGACTGTCATTTAATTGTCTAATGCTAGAACCTCCTGTTGGAAAAAGAGGCACCTTTGCCTATATCCAACATAGAAAACTGACACTACAAAAGAGATGAGGTATAAATTAACTATACTATAACTTATAAATAAAATAAACTGACTCCAGTACAGTGCTCTCTTAATAACAAACAGCAAGCAAAAGTGACACTAAACTTAGGAGTTGAATCTTAAAAATGCATTTAAGTAACTTACCTAGTAACTGGTCCCTGTGTGTGTTGTAAAGTAGCCACCACCCCAAGCTGGCTCTGGTGATAGTCTACAATATCACATTTAGTTTATTAATTTATATTAAAGTTATAGTCCATCATGGGAGCAAGCTTGGAGCGGTGGCTACTTTACAACACACACAGGGACCATGGGGAACAAAAGCAGCCACCCTCCAGAAGGAAGGACAGTGTCAGCACCAATTCAGAGATGATTTGAGAATCTACAGCTGAGTGATACACAAATAAGATGCATTTCCGTTAATGGTTAAGGTACCTAAATGCATTTGTTTTAAGTTTAACTCCTGACCTTCGTGTAGATATACACAGGGTATA